TGGGTGAAAGTAACTTTTACAAGAATTTGGGGTTTTTTTGGTCTTGTTTTGTTTTGTTTTTGAGACAGGTCTTGCTCCATCACCCAGTCTGGAGTGCAGTGGTGCGATCATAGCTCACTGTAGCCTTGAACTCCTGGGCTCAAGCTATCCTTCTGCCTCTCAGGCTCCTGAGTAACTGAGACTACAGGCATGGACCACTGTGGCCGGCTAATTAAAAAAAAAAAAAAAATTTTGTAGAGACAGGGTCTCCATAGGTTGCCCAAGCTGGTTTCAAACTCGTGGGCTCAAGCGATCCTCTCACCTAAGCCTCCCAAAATGCCGAGATTACAGATGTGAGACACTACACCCAGGCTGCAAGAATTATAAAATTGAGGGTTTTAAAAATTATTATTTGGATGGTGATCCTAAAGAATACATCAAGATGGTCGGACGCGGTGGCTCACGCCTGTAATCCCAGCACTTTGGGAGGCCGAGACGGGTGGATCACGAGGTCAAGAGATTGAGACCATCCTGGTCAACATGGTGAAACCCCGTCTCTACTAAAAATACAAAAATTAGCTGGGCATGGTGGCACACGCCTGTAGTCCCAGCTACTTGGGAGGCTGAGGCAGGAGAATTGCTTGAACCCAGGGGACGGAGGTTGCAGTGAGCCGAGATCACGCCATTGGACTCCAGCCTGGGTAACATGAGCGAAACTCCGTCTCAAAAAAAAAAAAAAAAATACATCAAGATAATCATATTCTGGATCCTCTGGGGCTTTCATACCTATGTGGACATTTGTGCTGAGATCCTGCTGGCCCCTCCCAAAGCAGATGCTCCCTGCACTGCACCTGTGTGCAGCCCTGGGTGTTCCTGCCCTCCTGGAGCATGCTCGAGGTATAGGTATACATGGGTGCCTGAATCAAAATTTAGAGACCTACAGGCTATAAAGGTGTAATTCACCACTCTTTCTGTGTTCTAAGCTGTTAAGGGCTGAGTTGGGTCCCCCACAATTTATATATTATAGTCTTAGCCTCCAGGGTCTCAGAATATGATGGCATTTGAATATTGGATCTTTTTTTTTTTTTTTTTTTTTGTGACAGAGTTTCACTCATGTTACCCACGCTGGAGTGCAATGGTGCGATCTTGGCTCACCGCAACCTCCGCCTCCTGGGTTCAGGCAATTCTCCTGCCTCAGCCTCCTGAGTAGCTGGGATTACAGGCACACGCCACCATGCCCAGCTAATTTTTTAAATATTTTTAGTAGAGACGGGGTTTCACCATGTTGACCAGGATGGTCTCGATCTCTTGACCTCGTGATCCACCCTCCTCGGCCTCCCAAAGTGCTGGGATTATAGGCGTGAGCCACCGCGCCTGGCCTGAATATTGGATCTTTAAAAAGGTGCTAAGGGGCTGGATGTGGTGATTCATGCCTTTAATTCCAGCACTTTAGGAGGCCAAAGTAGGAGGATTGCTTGAAGCCAGGAGTTTGAGACTGGCCTGGGCAACATAGTGAGACCTGTCCCTTAAAAAAAAAAAAATCTTTTTTTTTAATTAGCTGGGCATGGTGATGTGCATCTGTAGTTCCAGCTACTCAAGAGGCTGAGGCAGGAGGATCACTTGAACCTGGGAGATCAAGGCATCAGTGAGCTATGATCATGGCACTGCGCTCCAGGCTGGACAACAGAGCAATACCCTGTCTCAGATAAATAACCAGCACTTTGGGAGTCCCAGGCAGGAGGATTGCTTGAACCCAGGAGTTTGGGACAAACCTAAGCAATATAGCGAGACCTCATCTCTATAAAAATAAAAAAAGAAAAATAAAAGAGTGTTAAGGTAAAACGAAGTTATATGGTAAGCCCTAATCCAATCTGATTGGTGGGGTTGTTTTTTGTTTTTGTGAGACAGTCTTACTCTGTCACCCAAGCTGGAGTGCAGTAGTGTGATTGTGACTCACTGCAGCCTCCACCTCCTGGGTTCAAGCAATTCTCATTCCTCAGGCTTCTGAGTAGCTGGGACTACAGGCATGTGCCATCACACCTGGCTAAATTTTGCGTTTTTGATAGAGATGGGATTTCATCACGTTGGCCAGGTTGGTCCTGAACTCCTGACCCCAAATGGTCTAACCACAGGCGTGAGCCACCATGCCCAACCTCAAAGGGCCTTTATTGAAGGAAGCTACTTGTTACTGGAGCTCAGAGGACAGAGGGCAGAGCAGAGGCAGGTGGAGGCAGCAGCAGGAAGCTTCCAGACCTGCCCCTGCCCCTTTACCAAGCCACTCAGAAGTAGCCCTGCTGTACTGTGTGTCCGTTAGACCTCTATGGACCTGTGTAGGTATCATGTCATTTACAGTTGCTCTTTTTTTTCTGAGTTTTGGGTAGTCATTTACAGTTTTTTGGAGCCAGCCAGTAAGACACACAGAAACTCAAAGTACTTTTTCAATTTTGTCACCCAGCACAGAAGGCTTCTGCAACCAAATGTGGGGATTTCTTCCCCACTAATGAGCAAGTAGTCAGTTATGCAGCATACAAATCCAATGCCAATGTCATCCACCTAGAGATAGCGTCAGATCTTGCAGGTGAGGCCCCAAACCATGGAGACATCCCTCTGTTCAGATGCTAATTGCAAGCCCCAGGTTGTCTTGCTCACTCTTCTGACCCACCAGCTATGATCTCAGATTCTTATGACCAGTTCCTTGGGTTAAATTATTTGCTAGAGTGGCTTAAAGAACTCAAACAATGCCAGGCGTGGTTTATTTGCTAGAGCGGCTTAAAGAACTCAAACGATGCCACGCCTGTAATCCCAGCACTTTGGGAGGCTGAAGCAGGTGGATCACTTGGGGTTAGGAGTTCAAGACTAGGCCCACCAACTTGGTGAATCCCCATCTCTACTAAAAATACAAAAATTAGCTGGACATGGTGGTGTGTACCTGTAATCCCAGCTACTTGGGAGGCTGAGGCAGGGAAATTGCTTGTACCCAGGAGGTGGAGGTTGCAGTGAGCCGAGATCATACCACTATACTTTGGCCTGGGAGACAGAGCAAGACCCTGTCCCAAAAAAAAAGAAACAAAAACAAAAGCTTATTTACACTTGGTCTTTCTGGTGACCAGCCCCACTGAAGCACCTCGGGGGCTGCTTGTCATCAGTCAGTGCGTGAACATACAAAAAGACATCACTTTGGAGATTCCAGGAATTTTAGGAATTATATACTGGGAGGGCCAAAGACCAAATATATATTTCACAATATGAAAGAGCCCAATTTACATATTTCAGGATTCCCTTCTTGTTACAGCTTAAGATTTTTTAATTTTCCTGACTTTTCTCTTTGGACAGTAGTTAAGGCTGTCTTGTTCCTTTACTCTGGGGTTTAAATTTGAGATGAAGCTGATGTCACTTTGGGGCCCTTTCCTACAGCTCAGAGTTGGCCAGGCCACAGAGCCGGGACTATGGAATGGCAAGGAGGTGCCTCAGGTGCCAAATATTAGGCTGGTGCATAATTAATTGTGGTTTTGTCATTGCAGTGGCAAAACCACAATTACTTTTGCACTAACATAATATAAGGAGGCACACAGGCCAGGGGTCAGCGTCAGTGTGGAGTTCTCGGGAAGTGCTGCCGGCCTGGAGGAGGCTGGTGAGTCTGGGTCCCTGCCAGCCTCATGGGGACTGACCCGACCGCTGTATCTTGCAGGAATTTGTACACTGGGTGTGCAAGAGGCCGCATCATTTTTGGAGTCTGGGGGCACTGCGGTGGCAGAATCGACACAATGGGAGGCGCTAGAGGACCTGGGGTGGACTTGGACGTGGGGTCAGGGAACCTGGCATTTATTCATGCCGGACTGCCCATTCATGCTGCAGAGCATGGGAGCCCAGGGGAGAGTGGCAGCCAGAGGGACGTGCACTGGAGTCAATCAGCGCATGAAGCGGGGCGCTATTTGGTTGAGCCTCTGGTAACCCTTTTCCACCTCAGAGTGGCTGGTGGGGTCTTTGCCACTGCAAGTTCCCAGGTCTGCCCAGGTCCCTGGCATACCCACATCGCCCCGTGAGGCAGATGAGCAGAGCTGGAAGGGCCGCACAGGAAGAACTGGGATTGGCTAGTCCGGAGGTGGGTGGGTGGATAACGGGACCCCGATCCCTGTGGTACTCTGTAGGCGTGTGACTTGCTGCCTGGCACATTTCTTCGAGTACCCACCCCTTCGAGAAGGTAGTCCTGGGGTGGGGCTTCAAACTCCTTTTATTTAGTGGTCAGGGAACTGCAGAGGGGAGCACGCAGGACAAGGCCCCCAACCCCCTATCCCAGCCCTGCATCTTCAGGTCCCTCTCATGGACAATAGGGTCGTAGAAAATGCCAGGGAGGGCTGGGCGCGGTGGCCCTCGCCTGTACCCCCGGCACTTTGGGAGGCCGAGGTGGGCAGATCATGAGGTCAGAGTTCGAGACCAGCCTGACCAACATGGTGAAACCCCGTCTCTACTAAAAATACAAAATTAGCTGGGCATGGTGGCAGGCACCTATAATCCCAGCTACTTGGGAGGCTGAGGCAGGAGAATGGCTTGAATCTGGGAGGCAGAGATTGTGGTGAGCTGAGATCATGCCATTGCACTCTTGCACTTTAGCCTGGGCAACAAGAGCAAAACTTTGTTTCAAAAAAAAAAAAAAAAAGAAAAGAAAACGCCAGGGTGCTGGGCATGGACCCCTCAGGCCAGACAAATTGGGAGGGGTCCAAGGAAGCCATAGGAACCTCAAGCCCAGGTTGGGAGATGGACTCTGTGGGAAAAGTGGGCGTCTCTGGGCCTTGTCCTGCCTGGATCCTGGACAGGTGGCTGCCCAGCCTGCAGTCTTGTGTCTAGGCTAATGCTGTAGGCTGGGAAAGACCCCGTCATCCACCCACCACCCAGTCGTCCCCCACAAGACAGAAAGGCCAACCCACATTGGTGCTGTAACACCCCAGGACCGAGTCTCCAGGCCAGCCACAGCCTGGTACTTGACCCTACAGGGTTATAACCCATCCTTTCTGCTTCTCCAGGCCAAAAGCCAAGGAGCCCTCAGTGACCGTGGGATCCACGACACCTCCACTTCACTGTCTCTACACAGCCAGGGCAGCATCAGTACCAGCTCAGACACAAGGTTGGTGTGAAAACCAGCGGGTTGGTGAGCCTGTGGGCCTGCAGATGGGGATGCAGCTGGATCTGGTTGTCCCACCTGCCAGGACCAGCTGCAGTGCTGTGGCCTGCAAAGTGCTGGCAGGTGCTTGGCCCATGTTCCCTGTGATGACACAAACTGAACTCATGTCCCCAAAGTGCTTAGCTCTGATGCTTGGTGCCCAGGGACACTAGTGTCTGTTAACATGGATGAAGTACACCAGATGCTGTGTGGTCATGGGCTCTTGGTCCACCCCAGCTCTGCTGCTCCATGGATGTGTGGATCACCCTGACATACCTCAATGTCCTCAACCGTGACTGGGTCCATAAGAACGGGCTGCTGTCATAACAGGCGTGGGAGGGGGACTGGAAAGAGAATACACAGGGTGGAAACATTTTGTCCATGCTCAGCACGTGGGAAGGCCCATGGGTAGTGGCTCAGCTCTTAGTCATTAGTCACTCTGATGGCCCCTTGTGAGGAGTGTTTATTATGCACATTTTCCAGATGGGGAAATGGGGTTGGATGGGGGTGACATACCCAAGGCTGCCAGGAAAGGAACTGGCGGAGCAGAAGGACCAGCCAGGGTCCCTATTTCCATTAGGCCCCACACCAGCCTTGGCCCCAGTGAGCAGTGAGGCAGCCCCATCTCCTTCCCAGCTCTGTATCTAGAGCCCTGGCCCAAGGGCTTCCTCCACTGACGGGATTTTGCTTCCTTCCTCAGGACAGTACCACTGGACTCCAGGTTCCTTGCCTGGGAGTAGGAGAAATCCACCTGCTGGGGGCTGAGTGCAGCTTGAAGGACAGGCCCTGGGTCCCGGGATGCCCCTGCCCGAGTCCAACGAGCAGGAGGGCGAGAGCGTGAAGGCTGGCCAGGAGCCATCTCCCAAGCCAGGCACAGACGTCGTCCCTGCAACAGCAGCCCCGAGGAAGCCCAGAAAGTTCTCCAAACTGGTCCTGCTCACAGCCTCCAAAGACAGCGCCAAGGTGGAGGGGGCCAAGCGCAAGGGCGTGCACTGTGTCATGTCCCTGGGGGTGCCGGGCCCCGCCACTCTTGCCAAGGCCCTCCTCCAGACCCACCCTGAGGCCCAGAGGGCCATCGAGGCGCCCCCACAGGAGCCTGAGCAGAAACGCAGCAGGCAGGACCCAGGTGAGGCTCCACAACGCCCCCTCCAGGACAGCTCAGCACCTCCCAGAGTGGCCCGCATAGTTGTGCTGGCTCCGTCAGGCCCTTCTCCCTGTCTCCTTGTTCCCTGGCTTTGACCATGCATGGGGAGCAGTAGCACGGGGGTTAGGACACAGGCCTGGGCATCCTCCGACCTCCAACCCTGCCTCTGAGCAGCCTTGTCTCTCTGCGTCTGTTCCCCACTCTAGAATGAGCTGCCCACTGGCTTCTTCACAAGGGAGCATCTGAGGCTGCTGTGGGGCCCACAGGCGGCTGCTGTCAGCTTCAAGGTCTTGGCTTACAGCTACTCGATGAGCATCTCCAAGGCCAAGGGTTTGATGGGTCACCTTTGCATATGTTCTAGAAAGCTCCTTTTGTCTCACTCACTGTTCGTTCAGTCACTTAGTAACATCCACTGAAGAGCAGCTCTGTGCAGGCTGGGCTCTGGAGACTTGAGGCACACAGGATGAGACCCCCAGCAGACCAAGTCTGTAACCTCAGCCTGGCTCCCCAGGACTGCTGCTACCCTACCTGCCTCCTCTGCCCAAGGAGTCACCCCCGGCAAGCCATATCTCCAGGGAGATATAGCTCGGGGCTCACCGAGATATAAATTGGTCCTGTGGGGGAGTAGGGCTGGGGGTGTAGCCTTAGCTGCTTTGGGCTGGCTGGAGGTGATGGGGCAGGATCATTCCCTCTACTTTACTGTGGGAGTGATGGGATGGATGGACTGAGTGTCTTTATCCCCCACTCCCACTCCCTGGGGCCCTTGGCTCTGCCTCTGCTATGTACTAGACCTTTCTCTCAGCTAAACTTGGGGGATACAGCCAGGTGGGGCATGGTAGCAGAGACAGGGTGAGAACAGGGCTGCCCCTTTCCCTGTACCCAGCTCTCCCTTGGGTGGCCCAGGTCCTGTCCTGCTGTCCCCACAGGACAGGCCTCCTACTGGCCCCACAGCAGGTCCTCAGGACCAGAGGTCTGCTTCTGGGCTCTACTAGAGCAGGGAGCAGTAGGGTCAGGAACCTGGGTAGCAGAAGAAATGGGCTGGGTACACCTTTTGAGTTGGAAGTTCCAGAGAGCTGGGGCAGGGGGCTATGCATTGGGTGGGAAGATGAGCTGGGGTTTCTTCACTACTGGGAGTGGGCTCTGCCATGCCCCGAGAGGAAAAACAGCCATAGCAGTTGGCCTTGGATTGTGACCTCTGAACAGGTGGCCCCTGGGGTCAGCGAGGCACTCAGCCTAGCAGCCCATTATAAGAAAAAGGGGCCCTTAGGGTTCCTTCAGTTTGCTAGCAGTGCAGGGACCCTGCCTCACTGATGGAAATTGAGGGGTGAGTGGCCTGAGGTCAAACAGGGTCACAGCCCCAAAGTTTCCCTGGGGCTGAGACCCCAGAACGCCTGAGAGAGTAGTGTCTGCAGCCACAAGCCTGGAGCTCTCAGGGAACCTAATGGACTCCTTGGCCTCCATCCCCCTGCTGGAGTCTCAGGCCTGGTGCAAGCAGTGCTCAGGGACTCAGAGGGACCCTGTCCTCCCAGAGCTGGTAAGAGTGCCTGGCTCTCACTGTGAAGCCCCTACCACCAAGTCCTGCTCTGAGAGCTTCTGCATGTCCCCCTGGCTTCTCCTGCCAAACTGGCGCAGAGGATGCAGTCCTCTTGGCCTGTGGGAGGCAGGGCTCAGAGGAGTGAAGTCACCACCCTGAGGCCACCAGGAGGTCCCTGCAGAGGGCAGAGGGGGTTGGAGTCTGGCTCAGGGTCTGTTCCCCTGATTTCTGTGAAATAAGGCCATCTCACAGTCCTCCTCGCCCCTTTGAGACCGCTGCTCACTGCTGGGATCCATCCAGGCCAGGGGCCATGGTGCTTTTGTGAGAACTGGAGCACAGCCACCTTCTCCAGATGAAAGTCAGAGTAAGGCTTCTGCAGACAGGCACCCTCGGGCATCTACCACCTCCTCCCTGCCAACCCCTCCATCCCGCCATCCCTACCCCAAGTCCGGCAGAGGTGATAGCTGCGGCTTCTAAGTGCTCAGCCCAAACTTGGCCTCAAGTTTTCTGGAAATGATTTTAGCAGCCAGGCCACAGGCTCTTCTCTGTTCACAGGGCTTCTGGAACCCAGCTGGTGAATTTTTGCTTTCAGAATTTGTAGTTTCTTTTTCTTTTGTGGCCCTGGGCTGGTGGCCTTGGAAGCAGTCCCTCAGTGGCAATCACTTCTCAGTTAGGCAGAGGCTTCTGGCCCTGGAATATCTGCTGGCTGGGGTGACAGCAAGGCCCAGTAGACTCCTCTAACAGCGAAGCTCAGCTCTCCCTTCTCCTTTGACACCAGTCTGATCCACCTGCTTCTCTTGCAGGCGCAGGCGGAAAAGAAGACAGTGGATTAGCAGCGGGGCCTCCTGAGGCTGCCGGAGAGAACTCTGTCCTCTGCCCCGTGGTGCCAGGCACATCCTTGTAACCTTGACAACAGGTGCATCCTCCCAGGTCAGCAACTGGGCCACAGGCTCTTCTCTGTACACAGGGCTTCTGGGGCCCAGCTGGTGAATTTTTGCTTTCAACATTGTGTAATGTCTTTCTTTTTTTTTTTTTAGATCAAGTATAAATTACTTTTGTAAGCAGAAAAATAATTTCAAACAAGAATAAAAGAAGCTGTTTGCTAGACCCCATCATGGGCATGTTGTAAACATTCCAGGGTTCTGGGTCCTTTGAGGCTCAGCTCAGATGCCACCACCTCTGGATCTCCCTACCCCAGTCTTTACCGGGCCTTCCCAAAGTGCGCCTTAGTTACTGACCCAAGTCTCGGTTCCTCCATGAAGGCTCTCAGACTGATAGTTCTCATGCACTAAGGGAGCTCAGCCTTGCTAAGAATGGTAGTTCCAAGATTCTGCTGAGGGAGAGGTGGGCCTGCAACTCATGGGTGGGCTCAGGGAGGAATCTGACAAAAGTGAATGTGGCCTGCCTGTCATGTTCTTTCCAGAGGAGGTGGGGATGAGGGAACCAGAGTCCCTGCCCTAGACCCCTGGATGCCACCCCTCCTGGAGGGGAGATAAAGAAAGCACAGCTACCCTACATGAGCTGACAAGTCAGCGAGCCTCCAAGAGGCTTCCTATACAGTCCTCATCCTTTGAAAACTGCCTCTGAGCTCAAGGAAACGTTATGGTTTTGTTTGTTTTGAGATGGAATTTTACTTTTGTAACCCAGGCTGGAGTGCAGTGGTACAATCTGGACTCTGCAGCCACCCAACCACCACCTCCTGGGTTGAAGCGATTCTCCTGCCTCAGCCTCCCAAATATCTGTGATTACAGGCACACGCCACCACACCCCACTAATTTTTGGTGTTTCTTTTCAGGAGGCTGAGGCAGTTTTTTTTAAAGACGGAGTTTTACTCTTGTCGCCCAGGCTGGAGTGCAGTGGTATGATCTTGGCTCACTGCAACCTCTACCTCCAGGGTTCAAGTGATTCTCCTGCCTCAGCCTTCTGAGTAGCTGGGATTATAGGTGCCGGCCACCACGCCTGGCTAATTTTTGTATTTTTAGTGGAGACAGGTTTTTGCCATGTTGACCAGGCTGGTCTAGAACTCCTGACCTCAAGTGATCTGCCCACCTCGGCCTCCCAAAGTGCTGGGATTACAGGCATGAGCCACCGCGCCCGGGCCACACATGTTTTTTCATAATGTATTACGAATGTCTTCCCTCACAGCATCGTTTCTGCTGCTTGATGCCCACTGCAGGGATGAGTGAAAGCACCAGCTCCAATGGCCAGACACATCCCCGTTGCTTCCAGGTTGTAAGCAATCCTGAAATAGCCCTGTATGTTCCTAGGACATAGTTCTGGCAGTGAGATTGCCACACTGGAAGGATGCAACTTACGTTCAACCCATGGCCTGCGAATGCCAACTCTCCAGCATTTGTCCACACCCAGTTTTATCGTTAAGAAGAAAACAGTAATAACGCATCCTCCGCTTGGCACTTGTGTGCGCAGACTCTTCACTTTTCACCTGGAGGTCTCATTTTCCTTGGACAGCACCAAACGCTCTGCAGGGCCTCATCCGGGTTCAGGGTCGGAAACTGGAGACGATGTTCCTGGCGGCCGGGAGAGGGCGCGCGCGGACTCAGCGGCCGCCTAGCAGTCTCCCCAGGACGCAGGCAGGGCGCGCAACCTGGAGTGCGGTTCTGCCCCGCAGCCTCCGTCCCGCTCCGCCCTCCCGCCTGATGCCCACCTGGGCTCCTGAAGACCCAGACACCGGCTCTAAGTTGCTTTCTGCAGGGGTGGGAGGTGGGCGACTGGGCCGGGTGGAGAGGACACCTTGAGGCCGGGGATGCGAGGACTAGAAGTGCGCGGAAGTTTCTGGGGTTGGGCGGTGCAGATTTGAGGCGAACCGCAGGGGATGTGGACAGACTCAGGGAAGGAAGGGCGCCCAGAGAGGACGCGGGTGGGTGTGGGACGCGGGTGCGGGATGCAAGAGGTGTGGGACATACAGGAGCCCAAAGGACCTTGACCTGGACCCGCCGGAGCCGGGGGCTCCTCCAGCGGCCGCTTTAGAGCGAGAGGAGATGGGCAGGCCGTGAGGCGGGGACTCGGGGTTGCCTAGGAAGGAGCGGAGCCCTCCCCGAGCCAGCCGAGGACGCGCAGCGAGAGCGGGGCTCGGGCGGGAAGAAAGGGGCGGGCTGACCGAGGCAACCCCATGGGGATGGGAAAGCCGCCAGTGAGCCCAGGACGCAGTGCTGAGGTCGCTCTGGCCGCCGCCGTCGTGTTTCACAGGAAAACAGCGCCCAGAGCCCCGCAGCTCTCGGCGCTCGAAGCCAGCCCCTCCCTATCGCACCGCGCAGCTGGAGAATGGCGAGTGTCCCCCGCCCGCAGTGGGCCCGGGGGGGGGGGGAGGGCGGGGCCCGTGGGCAGGGGAGTGACCAATGGGTGGAGACCGAATCAATCAGCAAGGAGTGAGCCAATCGTCGAGGGCTAAACCAATGGGCAAGGCCTGAACCAATGGGCGAGTGCTGAACCCCAACGAACGAGGGCTGAACCAAAGGGCAGGTACTGAGCCACTGGAAGGGGGCGGAACCAATGGGCGAGGGATGGGCCGGGGCTGGGCCAATAGGTGGGACTGATCAGTGGGTGGGGCGGTGGCAATGGAAGGGGCTGGGCCAATGGGCGGGGCTGATCAATGGGCGGAGCCAATGAAAGGGCGGAATCAATGGGCGAGGGCTGGACCAATGGAAAAAGGCTTTTAGCTTGTGGAATGCTCAGGGGATCAAGGGAGTATTTCCTTTGTCCAACTTCTGCTTTGACATGACTTTGTACATACAGAAAAGCTGCAAGAATCCCCAAAAGAGGCAGGCTGGGTGGCTCACGTATGTAATCCCAGTGCTTTGGAAGACCAAGGCGAGAGGATCGCTTGAGCATAGGAGTTTGAGACCAGTCTGGGCAAAACAGGCCATGTCTCTATTAAAAATAAAAATTACAGGTGTGGTGTTGCGCGCCTGTAATCCCAGCTACTCGGGAGCCTGGGGCGGAAGAATCGCTTGAACCCGTAGGCAGAGTTTGCAGTAAGCCAAGATCTTAGCACTGCACTCCTGCCCAGGTGACAGCGAGACTCTGTCTCAATAATAATAGTGATAATAATAAACAGTTTGGGCGCTGTGGCTGACACCTGTAATCCCAGCACTTTGGGAGGCCAAGGCAGGTGGATCACGAGATCAGGAGTTCAAGACTAGCCTGGCCAAGATGATGAAACCCCGTCTCTACTAAAAATTCAAAAATTAGCCAGGCGTGGTGGCAGGCGCCTGTAATCCCAGCTACTTGGGAGGCTGAGGCAAGAGAATCGCTTGAATCCGGGGGATGGAGGTTGCAGTGAGCCAAAATGGTGCCACTGCACTCCAGACTAGGCGCAGAGCGAGACTCCGTCTCAAAAATAATAATAGTAAAAATATAGATACATCAATAGAATAGAATCAGTAATCTAGAAACAAACCACATTCATGATCAAGGGGTTGTCAACAGGGTGCCAAAGGTAGGTCAGGGTGGCTCATGCCTGTAATTCCAGCAGTTTGGGAAGCTGAGGCGGATGAATAACTTGAGCCTAGGAGTTTAAGCCTGGGGAGGGTAGGGAAACCCCGTCTCTACAAAAAATACAAAAATTAGCCAGGTGCGGTGTTGTGCACCTGTAGTGCCAGCTACTTGGGAGGCTGAGGCAAGAGGATCCCAGGAGTTTGATTGAGGGTGCAGTGAACTGTGATCTCACCATTGCACTCCAACCTGGGTGACGGAGATTCCCAAAAAACAAAACAAAAACAGCATCTCGGTGGGGCATGGTGGCTAATGCCTGTAATCCCAGCATGTCCACACAGAGAGTTTGATTGAGGGTGCAGTGAACTGCGTGTAGGGCGTTCCCTATCGCTGTGCTGGGGCGCTGGATCAGAGAAGTAAAGAGACGAGACACAGAGGACTGGAAAAAATAGCTGGGCTCGGGGGCCACACCACTTACAAGCAGAGACAGGCGAGGCCCCGAACGTCCAGGAGCGTCTGTATTTATTGGGTACAAGATGGGGAAGGGTAGTGAGTGAGGTCATCTCAAGGACAGTGATAGGGTTGAGACAATCACGTGCGCAATAAACAAGGGGTCCACCCCCATTAAGTCACCTAGGCTAGGAGGTGGGTTGTGTGCCATGGGTGAAGAGTGCAGTGTGCAATACTTCTTGTCTAGGGGCAGGCTATTTCTAAGGAATTCTGTAGGAGGATGCTCTTGAGTCAGCATAGTAGCAGAGCTGACCAGGTCTATAGCCACCTGCTGGCAGCTTCCAGTGATTTCTATAGGAAGGTACATTTCAGCTAGCACAGTAACAAGGGCTGATAAAGTTCACAGTCACCAAGGTGTGATCATACCAGAGAGGTTTTAAGCCGGAGACTCGCGGGATTGCTGGTCTGAGGGCAGCCTTCCACAAGAACTGGATGCAAGGTACTACAACTCCTTTTTCAGGAGGAGTGGCTCTTGCTCCAAGCTTGCCATACAGCGGGCATCTTTACTATACTGAACGCTGCCGCCTGGGCCATGTTCTTGTCCTGGTGTAACTGTTTTTCCCTTAAATCTTGCTCTGCACCATGTCTGCTCTAGACATTCCTCTGACTATAAGCAAGATATGCTTATATATGTATAGCTGTTTATCCCTTAATTCATGCTTTGTACTGTGTCTGCTCCAGACATTCCTCCAACTATGAACTAAGATATAATTGTATATATGTGTGTGTTTGTGTGTGTGTGTGTATGTGTATATATATATATATATATATATATGGAAATAACTGAGTAGTATGATATTCTTCAGACACTAATTCTATAAACTAATATATGATTATATATAAAGGATCATATGAAGGAAATAACTGAGTAATAACACTGTAAACTGAGATATTCTTCAGGCACTAATTGTGCCAGGATCTGCTTAGCTTTCCCTCCTCGGTGCCCAGATGGAGGGTTACCCACGCTGTGGACCCAGGCATTTGATTGAGGGTGCAGTGAACTGTGGACCCAGGAGTTTGACTGAGGGTGCAGTGAACTGTGATCTCACCACTGCACTCGAACCTGGGTGACAGAGGGATACTCTGTCTCAAAAGCAAAACAAAAATAGCATTTCAGTGGGGCACAGTGGCTCATGCCTTTAATCCTTGCATGCCAACACAGAGAGTTGTATGTAAATGTTCATAGCACTATTATTCACAATAACCAAAAAGTGAAAATAACCCATGTCGGCCAACAAAGGGATACACAAATTGTTATATAACCATACATGAGGACATTATTTGGCCATAAAGAGCAATTAAGCTGGGCGCGGTGCCTCACACCTGTAATCCTAGCACTTTAGGAGGCCAAGGCAGTCTAATCAGCTGAGCTCAGGAGTTTGAGACCAAACTGGTCGGCATGGAGAAACCCAGTCTCTACTAAAAATACAACAATTAGCCAGATGTGGTGGCAGGCACCTGTAATCCCAGCTACTTGCGAGGCTGAGGCAGAAGAATCTCTTGAACCTGGGAGGTGGAGGTTGCAGTGAGCTAAGATCATGCCACTGCACTCCAGCCTGTGTGACTGAGCAAGACTCTGTCTCAGAAGTAAGTTCTGATACATGCTACAACATGGATGAACTTTTTTTTTTTTTTTTTTTTTTTTTTTTTTTTTTTGATACGTGGTCTTGCTCTGTCAGGCTGGCATGCAGTGGCATGAGTGAAACTCACTGCAGCCTCAAACTCCCAAGCTCAACTGATTCTTCCACCTTAGCCTCCTGAGTATCTGGGACTACAGCACATCATTATACCCAGGTAATTTTTTTTTTTTTTTTTTTTTGAGATGGAGTTTCGCTCTTGTTGCCCAGGCTGGAGTGCACACTGGTGGTGTGATCTCAGCTCACCGCAACCTCTGCTTCCTGGGTTCAAGTAATTCTGCCTCAGCCTCCAGACTAGCTGGGATTACAGGTGCCTGAAACCACACCCAGCTACTCAGGAGGCTGAGACCAGAGAATCACTTGAACCCAGGAGGCGAAGGTTGCAGTGAGCCAGGATCATACCACTGCTCTCCAGCCTGGGCAACAAAAGTGAAACCTCCATCTCAAAAAAAAGAAAAAGAAAGAGAAACTTTACAATATTTTTCCCAAAGAAATTTATAAGAGTGACATAGTTTTACATTTTTGCAAATATTTTTATTGCTGGCTTAACAGAAGACTACTGGCTGTCACACCTGCTTCTCCATTCAATGTGTTACATCACAAGTCATGCAGCCTTTGTAATACTATGCAAAATTTCTGCTTTTTTTTTTTTTTGAGACAGTCTCGCGCTGTCTCTGTAGCCCAGGCTGGAGTGCATTGGCTCCATCTCAGCTCACTGGAACCTCCACCTTCCAGGTTCATATGATTCTCCTCTAGAGTAGCTAGGATTACAAGGGCCCGCCACCACGCCTGAGTAATTTTTGTATTTTTAGTAGAGACGAGGTTTCTCCATGTTGGTCAGGCTGGTCTCGAACTCCTGACCTCAGGTGATCCGCCCACCTCAGCCTCCCAAAGTGCTGGAATTACAGGTGTGAGCCACCGCGCCCAGCCCAGGTATTTTTGTTGTTGTTGTCAGCTTTCCACTGTAATAAACAGCTGCCTTTTCTCCTCCGTTTACGTATTTCCTTCAGTTTCGACTCATGGGCTCGTATGTTGGTCAAGGTTATAACCCGTGGCTATCGTTTATTTGAACCTCACACTGGACCCGCTCTGGGGTAGGGTCGCTGGA